GAAGGAATACACCAGACTTACCAAAAATTGAATTTACTACAATATAGGATTACACGCCAAATAGATGTAGCTTGCAATAGTTAGAACTAAGCAATCACAAAACCAATGGATCAAATCTAAGCTCTGCAATCCTGCCACAAGCAGTCATGAATATTGGTGGGCAATAAACCAGAGGAGGTAGGCCCACAAATAATCTATCCTCACAGAGAGGGGGTAAGCCTAGCACAGAATGCCAAGTACTAGGTTGAGCATTTGCAATGATCTTCAGCCAAAACAACTGAGTAGGTGATCCATTTTAGTATGCTGCTGAGGTCCCTACCATCACCAAGTCAGTATTCAGCCCAGAGCCAGGCAGGTTAGCAGGAGTTTCACCAGTTGTACTACAAACTCTTTGGTTACTGTCCTCAGTACAGTTGCATAGTACAAACAAATCGTTTCACATATAAAGTTTAGAAATTAGTTTTATTGATTTATCTCCTGAAACAACTGGTGATTTTTTTTCTGAAACACAAAATCTGCCCAGAGATCAACTTGCTAACAAATAAGAATCCTGAATTATACACCTACAACTGAAAGTAATCAATTGTGGAGCTTCCTGATTTAACTAGTTACAAAAAGCTGCTCAAATGCTGTGCCGCAATCATACTTTGAATTTGAGTTGAACAAATAAGTTTGGATAATAGCTTCCGCCACCACATGCACAATGAAAGATGTTGGAAATAAGAAACCATTTCTTTTAAAGAATCAAACATCATGATTGTGTTATGCAAAGCTTTAGTCTCTTTTGGTGTACACCCAACTGCCCAGAGCTCACTTTCTGGAATTATTACTGATATTGGGTTACATTTATAATTGTGAAAAAATGTATATTCCATTTCTTCGGGTTTCATTAATCAAATGCAAAAGCAGCTCTATTTACTTCTATGACTCTTCAATATGTCTTACTTTTGGCAATATGATCTTGACAAGCATTCCAACACACATATGTGCCTTCAGATTCCAAAACCACTGAAAATACAGTACACTGAAAAGTGAATTTTTTCCAAATGCTACGTTTACTAATCCCAAATCTTCAGCTGTGCAAATTCACGGTTGTGAATGTGTAACGGAAGTATAAACAAATACTATTCAGTCCACAACGCACTTACACATTTTTGAGATTGGCCTAATGAAAATGTCCTCCTAGAGGAAAAGTTTTAAGTTAAACAACATCAATAAACAGAGCAAGGGCGTAGATGTAATGATGCAACAGCACCCAAGAAGCCTGAAAACATTCAGAAGACAGCAGCCTCATCATTTGGTATGCCATCCATAGATATTTACTCCCTCCATCACTACCACACAGTTGCAGCATTGTGTACTATCTACAAGACACTATAGGAATTCATCAACGTTCCATAGAAAGCATACTCCAACCCCACAGCCACCATGACCTAGAAGGACAAGAGCAGAAAATGCAGAGGAACACCATCACCTGCAAGTTCCCCAGCAAGCCATTCATCATTCTGACTTGGAACCATATCATATTTCTTCTCTATCACTGAGTCAAGATCCTGGAAGTCGATAATGTGTCAAATCCAATGCCTTCAACTGAAAGTCCTGATGAAGCATTGGAAAAGGTCTCACTTTACACATCGTGATAGCCACCTTTTCCAAAAAGCTGGTGTTGAAGAAGTGGCACACCACCAAATTCAATGTGCATGCTCAGCCTATAGTAAATTATGTACTTTAGTGTTTGACAGTTATAACAAACCAGATATCATAGACAGTGGGTCGCTGAGGTTTTGAAGTTTGAATGACTCTGACACTATATGAAAGCCCAACCTTACAAATCAAATGGGACATCAAAAGAACAAATACAGGGTGTCCTCCTAATCAGATACTTAAGAAAAACAGCAGCTGAAGGGAGGCAAGAACACCAGGTAAAGACCCACAAAGAGTGCTGAAAAAGCAAAAATGTGTTGTAGTTCTTCTCCTGGCCCACCAGCAGTCCTACCCCAGACCCAGGAAACTGACCTGTTCCGATTTCCATGAACCACCAATCACCACACTCTTAACTAGAGCTATCCATTATCCCACATTCCAATATTCCCACTGACCCACACACTTTAGCCTGGTCTCCCACACTCAATGCCTTTCACAGCCCTCCACACTGTCTCAACTTCTCCACCCCTTGCAATATCGCCCTCCTTTGACTCTATGCCCACAACTTGTACCATAGGGTTTCCCTTCAACAGCCTCAAAATGTCCGGCATTTGGCTGGGAAATAAAATAAACAATTTAATTGAGGAACTGACATTAAATTCTGGCTTTCAGCACTGTTGAAATTCCTAGCAGCACAGGCGACCATCTACCCAATTACTCCATAAATATTGGAATTATTGACATGAAGGTGGCAGCAGACGTCTCATCACAACCAGGGCCTGAATTTGTGAACATGTGGTCTGTTGAGCTAAATATCATATCAGATGGAGTATCTACTCTTTAAATTATATGGGCAGCAATAAGGAATTTGTAGCAGGAATATTGTATAATTAAGTAATTAAGTATTATAAAATACTGTACAATTCTACACCTCTTTGCATAAACGTAAAGTGACAACACAGCAACAACACTCATAAATTTTCATTCAACAATGTCTTGTTAGATTAAATGCCCAGTAATAACCAGAGCACCTTGACTCTCAACATCAAGCTCAGTTTTGTCCAGCATATAAGAAGTTTGATAATTGTTCAGCATGGAAGTTTGATCATGTGCCTACAGAACCTGGATATTTTCCTGGATTTACATTTAATCTCAATGTTTCTCATTTTCCATGATGTAAACTTTCAATTGGAAATTTTTCCCTTGCAATGTTCATCTCGTCACTGATTGTTCTGGTGCAAGTTTCAGTGGCATTTAGCTGGTTATGCTAACATTTCACATTTTGTGGGGACTACCCTCCTTTATAAGACTAGCATTGTAATCTAAATACGGTTGATCAGTTTACTTTTTGTAAATTGACTCATCTTCTGTCTGCTGTCTAACAAAGTTATTTCTCCAGCAGGAAGTCAAAGCTTCCAACTTAGCTTTGCGTTGTTCTCCAAAATGCGCTACGGAACTAAGGTTATGAAAATAAATATGGAACAATACGAAACAGTAACAATTTACTGTTGTGAAAAAAGGGCATATTCGTTGCTGCAACTAACTAGTTATCCATTATAAACAGTTTACATTTTGTTGCTAGAAAATCAAAGTGTCCAAAGGTGTTATGCTTACTGATAGATCGCTGCTTAAAACGAACAAGAGCATTTCTGAACACTGGCATGAAATAATCAGAGGTAGTTTTGTGGCGTTTGGGTAAAGCATACAATGCATAATTCAACAGGCTTCCTCAAGTAAATCGGCAATGGACTGAACTAGCATCAGCTTAGCAGTTGTGTACTGGATTAATGAACCAAAAAGACAGGCTCTGGGAACAAAGATATTTCAAAAAGGTTTTTGAAATAATAAGGGAATAGGGAAATTGGTGGCATTGTAAAATTAACATAATATTCTTTAACTCACTGAATCACTGACTCACTGACATTCGGCTTGTGAATGCACTTACACTCAAGTACTCATTAACCACTGGAGCAATGATCTAAGCACCTAGTTTTTTTTCATGTTAATTAGTTGCAATGTTTTTCTACATGACTGGAGTGATGTGTAAAATTTTCATCAGCCAGTTTTTGCAACCACAACATGCATAAGCAGTCCTGAATATGACATTGTATTTTTTAGTGTACTGTATCATATCATTACTGTTAGCAAAGAAATGGCACCTGTTTAACAAGCTCATCACTAACTGATTTCAATTTTGAGAAATTGTAAACCCACACCCAAAACCTTGCATTCTAATCAAGAATGGGCACACCTTTTTTCAAACCCAAAGAAACAAATTGACTGAGACATTAACAATCTGCAACTGACCAATTTTATTATTAAATGACTGTGTGAAACAATTCCCACTTACAAGTGCCAGCCAAAAAGATTGCCAAATCCAAAACAAACCAGCATAAGACTGCTTAGTCAAATGAGAGTGCAGTTCAAGTTTTTGAATTATTTTGACAGATAATTAAAGTTTATTGAAGAAGTTAAGACTGTCATCTCAGCTGGTGTAGTACTAAATATTAACTTTTATTTTTGTTAAATCTACTTGCATTTATTTTTAAATTATGAATGGTATACTTGAAGAAACACTAATCTCAAACCAGACAACTATCAACCCAATTTTCATTCAAGCTGTCCCCTCCTGCCCCTCCAAATTAGTCCCAAATGTTTCACAGGCACTCTCTTTTGGAATCTGAATACAAAAACATATCGATGGTGACAAGGTGTATATACTTAATTATTTACATAATCAATTTGATACAGAAAGCTAATTAAAGCGTTTTTCTTTATCGTCAATAAGTCTATTTAATATTTCCACTGACTGGGGAGAATGGAAACATATACTGTACAGATAAAAATGTACAAAAGTCCATGCAAAATCTATGGTATTTATATTATTAGCCATTGCTAAGAATGCAAGGTACGGTTGACTTCACTCAAATTCTGCGCCCTTAGGTAATTTAATAAAGATATAAAACAGCAGAGGGAATAATTGCATGCTAGCATTAAATGGAATTAAGATAATCTTTTTAGGATTTCATTTCTTTGTAGCTAATTGCCTCCTACAGCTCTACAGCATGCCTGCGCCATTTTTTTAATATCAGTATGTTCACATGTCATGTTTCAAAAGGCGCACCAACCCACGTGTGTTGCATTTTAATAACTTTGCGCTGACAGTGTAATCCTACGGCAACAACAGAAGCAAAAGCCGCTCTCAAGGTTTTATCTACTCTATTTACAATCGCCACAATCAACCGCCGAAATGCAAGCGGGGCCGCAACCATACTTGACGGTGCGACCACACATTGATGGACAGCAGTCAAGACCAATCCAAGGTAGAAGAACTAGCACCGTGGTGGCCAAGTCACCTATCAGCGGCGCCTGTGGGCGGGGATTGCCCGCCAGCGAGTTGGGTTGAGGCAACAAAAGGCGTTGGGGTGGTCAGCCCCGCGATCGGCAGCGACGCAGCTGACGCCGCCGTCCGTAACATTCGACGCCGTCCAGCCCGTCTGCGTCCTGACGTCCCGCAGACACCAACGGACGGCACCCGCCGCGGCGACGACACGGCCCGATCTTCAATGGAAACGCACCGGAACGGTCACTTATTACCTTGTGCGTCGCGGGGCGCCGGAGAGCGTCTTATTAAAACCCAAACCGAACATCGACCGGGTCACTGGCGGCAACGTAACTGTTTCTGGAGCGCGCGCGCGCAGGCTGTGCGCAAGGGACGTCAGGCTCGTGACGCACGCTGGGGTGCGACGTACATAGACGTCAGTGCGTCACGGGAAATCGGTGGGAGAATTGTGATGAAGCTGCAGAGGGAGCAATGGTGATAGTTGAGTCCAGTGCCTGGGATGACAGCTCAGACCACCCCTACAACACACACCATAATACAAGAGAAGACCACCAAACCTCACACACATACTAATACAAGATCAGAACATCTGTCAGCCACACACTGTAATACAAGATCAGATCAACCATCACACACACTAAAACAAGATCAGACTACCACACCTCAAACACACACATACACACACACACACACATTCTAATACAAGCTCAGACCATCCACTACATTTTGATGTGGTCTTCCCCAACATTTTAAACCTTTGAAATAGTCATGCAAAACATCTCTACAAAATGAGAAGTTGCTGGAAAAGCTCAGCAGGTCTGGCAGCATCTGTGAAGAAAAAAATCAGAGTTAGCATTTCTGTGGTGACCTTTCCTCAGCACAGGAGGAACATTCTGAGTAAGGGTCACTGGACCCGAAATGCTAACTCTGATAATTTTCTTCACAGATGTTGCCAGACCTGCTGAGCTGTTCCAGTAACTTCGGTTTTTGTTCCTGATTTACAGCAGCCACAGTTCTTTTGGTTTTTGTTCCCTGTACAAAATGGCCTGAGCAGTTGCTATTAGGAAAAATTCCATTCAGCCTTTGATAAGAAACCTTAAGAGACTATTAACTGTTCTCAATTCTGTACCGGCAGATAACACTTCAACCGCCGAGCTCATGGCAGGGATATGGGACAAATGCAAGCAAATGGGACTAGTTTGGTTTGGGAAACCTGGTCAGCAGGGATGAGTGGGACCAAAGGGTCTGTTTCCATGCTGTATGACTCTATAATAAAGGACAGCAGTCCAGACATTAGCAGGTCAGTTAAGGACCAATTGCAAAGCAGAGAAAGAGAGCATCATGGTCAAATTATCATAAGCAACATGCACAAGGCTTTAGAACATGAAATGATTTTGAGCCACAGGACATCTTTGATCGTGGAGACTGTTGTGCAATGTTTTCCGTTATAAATTGCAATGTTCACATTTATGATGGAAACTACTTATGTAAGCTTGTCACACTGTAATTACAACCTCGCCACACGCAGCTGTTGCAGCATGGTGTGAGGGTGTAATTATAATGATATATTTACAAAGGCAATTTCCAATAGAAATGTGGACAATGTAATTTATTATATGTTGCACAAAGATGAGAGCAAATATGTGATTTTAAAATGATGCCTGAACTATGTCTGCATCCCTGAGCGTACAACTACCTCCCATCCTACACCACTGCTTCTCCATGAGATGACACTTGATTTTGCTGTTTTAAATAATTTGATGACATAATATTCAAACTGACTTAAGGATTCTGGTCATTGTCAATAGTGCAAAATGAAATTTTGGATTTTCATTTGTGCAGCCCCTCATCACATTCAATATGAGAGATCAAGTTAATGATGTATATGACGTGTGAAAGCTGTGATAGTTAACCCTCAACTGTTAATCAATCAGCAATCTCATTCTTCTATGGTTCTAGTAATCCAAGACATCTGAGGTGGCTATATGGAACTGAATTGTTTGTGTAAAGTTTAGATGATAAATCTAATAATTCTGATTGACATTTCCATTTCTACTTCTATTTTTTGGGCCTTAAAAAAGAACAATTGCAAACAATTTTCCTTTATACACACTATTGCCTACAATAAAAGCAAGATGTAAGACCTTGTGACACATCCAAATCCTTCAAAATCAGTTTAACTGAATATCAAGTACAGCTGATTATGTAAAGATACTTTGTTCAAACATGTTCTGAAGGTTTTTCAAACCAATTGTGTTGGATATGAGGCACAAATCCCTTCCTACTTAACAAACCTAAAGGCAGAATATGTTGGTTGCTGAAACAACATGGGCTGTGACGATAAACATAGCTATTTCTTCTTCCCTCTAGGGTCAAGAATGATTTGTTTCCATGCCACGGGGGATAACAGGAGGAGGAAGGTTTTGGATTCTGCAGTGGCTGAATATCCAATCCAAGAGCTGCAGACTCTGCCACCAGTGGGGCAGGTGGTGTTTGAGGAGGTGGGTGGCGGGGCAGTCTGCATTCTGCATGCTTTTTCTACTGCCTCCACATGCTCCACTCAGTGCTGCTCAACGTGGTTGGTGTCTTCATAGATGCTTCTCCAATTTGTGCATTCTATGGCAAGCAATTCCCATATGTCAGAGGGGATGTTACATTTGTTTAGGTAGGCTTTCAAGGTATCCTTGGAGCATTTGCTCTGCCTTCCTGCTGATCACTTACCATTGTGGAGCTCAAAGTAGAGCCCTTATTTATGGGCATGCAGACAATGTGGCCTGCCGGCTGCAGCTGGTAACGCATGACGGGGATAATGGCCTGGAAAAGGGTGCTCATGTTAGTATGCCTATTCTGCCAGTAAAATTGCAGGATTTTGTGAAGGTAGCACTGATGATAATTGTCCAAGGAGTTGAAGTGTCTGCAGTACATGAGCCATGTTTCAGATGAATACAGGAGATTGAGGTCCACGACTGTTGTAGACCATGAGTTTGATGCTGGGTTTGAGGTCTTGGACTTTGAAATCTCTGTTCCTCAGACATGCATTAGAGTCGATGTTGGATTTCATCATCAATGGCTGCTCGCATGGAGAGGAGACTCCCAGGATGTGGAAAATGATCCACATTCACCAAAGTTTTGCCATTGATTTTGACAACTTGGGACAGTGTTGTGTGGCAGGACCGTTCCGGTAGAGAACCATTGCTTTCTGGATTTTAGTCTAAGGCCCATTCTCTTATTCTTCTCATAGAGCATGTTGACAATGATTCGTAGGTTGTCCTCTCAATTTTCACACACAGGAACATTGTCTATGTACTGTAGCTCAATGCCAGAAGTTGGCATGATTTTGTTCTGGCCTGGAGGCATCCAAGGTTGAGCAGTTTTCCACTCGTCCTGTAGGTTAACTCCACTCTGACAGGGATCTTCACAGAGATGGGGTGGAGTGTTGCAACGAGGAGGATGGTGTGATGTTACAGTCCTGCTTGACCACAGTTGGCACTTGTATTGGGCCTGTGGGGCATCTGTTAGTGAGGATCACAGCTTACATGCCATTGTGAAGCAAGAGGGGAATGGTGACACCTTGCTACGGACAGCCGATTTTAAGGGGGATATTTCTGACAGAGGTGAAGGACTTCATGCTCGAAGAAGGCCTTGTACAGAGGTTGGTGCTGTTCCCTGCACTTTCCTTGGATTTGTCACGTGCTGAAAATCACATCCATTGTGCCTCCAGAGGCCACACTGAGACTCAAGGAGGAACTCTTCAGCCACTGGGAGGAGGCAGTTGAGGACGATTCTCACAATGGCCTTTCCCATGGAAGGCATGGAAATCCCTCTGTAATTTCCACAGTTAGACCTGTTTCCTTTCTTGAAGATGGTCACAAGTATAGCATCTGAGATCTCCTGGTATGCTTTCTTCCTTCCAGAAAAAGACAATAGGGTCATGAATTCATGTCGAGAGTGCCTCTCAGCTGTATTTATTATTTGGGGATTCGCCAGAGATCTTGTTGTTTATCAGCTATTGGATGGCTTTGTTGACCTCACGTCAGGCTGAAGGTGCGCTGAAATGGTGACAGATCATGTGTTGTGGGATGGTTTAGAGGGCACTTGCATTGAATGCTGCATCTTGATTGAGAAGGTCCTTGAAGTGCTCTCTTTAGCAGGCATTGACTGTGTCACAGTCTTTGAGCAACTCTCTCTTTTTGGCACTCAGACCAGATATAGCTTTGATTGCACTGAAGCAACTGCAGACATCATGGTTGTTGGTGAGTTGCTAATTCGACTGCACTGTTTCCACACACTATCTATTCTTTAGGTCATGGGTTCTTCATTGCACCTTGGCCTTCAGTTGCCTATAGGCTTGTTTCCCCTCACTCGAGTTTTGATGGTGCTGCCAGTTCTTGGAAACTGTTGCTTTTGTAGTCTAGGAGGTCCTGGATCTCCTAATCATTGTCATTAAACTGGTCTTCGTGTTTTCTGATCAAGAGGCTGAGCAGTTGCTAACTATGATGGTTTCAGGTTGGACCAGGCAAAGTGGGCATTCTGCGTTTCTGGTATATTGGAGGGTGCCAGGTTGGCTGTGAGGCACTGCCCAAAAAGGGTCTTTGACACTAGCAAAATCGATTCTCCTGTAGCAGAGTCTCTTTTGTCTCTGCCAGTGTGGGGCCAGGTTAATGGAGATGGTTGGTCCAGCAGTCATCAGATTTAGTTTAGTAATGCAGACATTTTTGCAGTCCCTTGTTCAAAGGATGATGTTACTTGGAGTGGGGGTGTTGCTATGAGACTTGGCGCATGTCCCTCTCTGATAGGAGAATTGTGCTTGACATTGGGAACAACGCATATTTTTTAACTCTGTTCTGGTCCACTGTGAGATTCTTGCTTGGCAGAGGTAAGTTGTTTATTAAGGGGAATTGTTGCTTATTAATGACAGTAGATCTCAGCTCATTGATACACAATTTTCCACTGTACCTACCGAGAATTTTTGACATGAAAGTCTGAGTGGGTACTTCACCTTGTACTTCACCAAAGGATCTCCATGTTGGACACCAAGCAGCAACATCTCAGGCCATGCTCCATGGTTACAAGCCATATGTACCCTATGTCCATAAGTATTGGCATTTGACATGTACCAGTTTCTAAAAATCCTCATGGCACATCTCTGATCCACTTACGCTACACTTCTGTACTTTAATGCTGCAACTAGGTGCATAATGACAACTATCATTGTAATGCTGCAGCAAGAACAATTTGCATTCAAACATATGCTCATGGAC